TCTCTCTCTCTCTCACACACACACACACACACACACACACACACACACACACACACACACACACACATTTACGAAAACAAGGGAAAAATCAACTTGGACACGCCGCTCTCGCTCGACGCGGGGAAAGCACAAGATACTTCCGCATTGCGCAATTATCAAAAAACTGAAAATCGACACTCCACCATGCCACATTCTTCCTGCGTCCCTTCCATTATCAGATTCTAATTCCTCATTCGCATTCTCACCATTCTGTGCAAGTTTCCCGCCGCCCACTTCCCTATGCACACACCTTACTGTCCATTCCGCGCCGCCCATGCACCATTGTCTCCATGCAGTTCGAGATTCGTCATCCTAGGTACGGCAATTTGGCGGGAAAAGAAAGATTCGATTAATTGATCTGTGCGGATCGATCATTCCATCTTCGGCTTTTGTATCGTTCACCGTGGCAAGGTCCCACTTGCACGGATTAAGAGATTCCGGCCGTTGATCTTTGCTATCTACGGTCAATATCGCTTAATTCGTGCAAGTGGGACCTAGCCCCCGGTACCGCGCAGTTTACGGTCAACCTCGCTAGCTTTCGGACTCACCAAACACGATTTTTTTCTGAGTTGCGGCGCCGCTCCACCACCTCACTACGTCGCTTCCATTATCAGATTCTCACTCCTCATATTGCATTGTCACCACTCTCTGCGCGTTTCCCGCCGCCCACTTCCCCATGCACACACCTGTCTCCATGCAATTCGAAAGTCGTCGTCCTCTCAAGAAAAGCGGCGCGGCAACCCCTACCTACAGCAAGTTGGCGGTAAAAGAAAGATCAATTTGGCGGGAACAGAAAGATTCGATCAATTAACCTGGCACGGTCTTCCCAGCCTGCGGCGCCGGGTTGAATATATGGGACTCGCTCCACTACACAAGGCTGTACATAACATTTGGACGCTTTCTTGACCGGATGCATTCACAACGTTGGAATCGTCGGAATGCACCTGGTCCCTAAAGCATCCAATGCATGTACAGTGTTGTGTGTTGTGTCTCCCAGAGCCACCAGCAGTGGCGAGTGTTCTCACCTTCCCCGCGTTCCGGTTAGGAAGCATGGCCCCTTTTCGAAGATTTGGACCAAGTTCCTCCCGTGTTTGAGTAGGCCATCCCCACGGCATTGTGGTGAGCTCTCAAGTTTGATGAGAGGTAGTAGTGGAGCGCCGCCGCCACGGAAATCCACAAATTCCGCCGTCGCGAGTAAATTCACGTGTGTGAGAGGTGGAGCGAGGCGCCTCATCGATGTTATAGGACAGTCTCTCTCGGAAAATTTGATCTGCTAGCCTAATACTGTAAGACGGATGGAGTCATCACTCGTTTTATTTTAGTACGACGAAAAACAGGGACTCACCATTCACACACAGCACCACGCGGAGGTCTGATCTTTCTTTCGACTCCGATGATGACATCGGTCATCGGGATTCTCAACACCCTCGGCGGGTTCTTTCTCCCACTACGGTGAGACTAAGCCACGTGTGGCTTGTTCAAAGGTTAACGGACATTGGGCCTCGCTGCACTACTCTCGCAATGCGCAGTGTTGTGTCTCCCAGAATATGGAATCTTCCGCTAGAATATGGAAAGATGCACCGCCATGATTTTTGTCTTTTGTGCATGTCGAGAGTAGTGCAGCGAGGCCCATTGTGCCCCCGTTGTTGGGAGAAGGACGCGATTGCTGTCGCCAAAGCGGTTCCGGTCTCTGCTTGGCCCGGTCAAGGTCACGCACCTTGACCTCCTCTTTCTTGCGGCCAGACGCACGACTCTCAACAGAGCAGATAATCGGCGAATTCTTTTTTTTTTTTAAGCCAGATTACTGGCAATCGCGTTATTTTCCTGGATATAAAGACATACAACTGATAATGAATGTCGGATGCGTAAACCCACCCATTCGCAGTATAGCCACCCACACCTTCGGGAGTTCTCTCTCCCATTACGGTGCGTACTAGCCACGTGTGGCTTCTTCAAAGACTGACCGACCTTGTTCCCCCGTTGTTGGGAGGAGGCGATTGTTGTCGGCGAAGCCTTTCCGGCCTCTGCTTGTTCCCGTCACGGTCACGCACCTTGGCTTCTTTCTTGCGGCCAGACGCACCACTCTAACAGGGGAGCATAATCGGGGAATTCCCAGCCAGATTACTGGCAATCGCGTCGTTTCCCTGGAGATATAGAGACATACAATTGATAATGAATATCGGATGCGTAAATTTTACAGATTGGATGCACGTATCGGTTCTTTGTGCTGCTCACTCTGTGCAGCAGTACAGCCAAGCAGCACAGAGTGAGCAGCACAAAGAACCGATACGTGCATCCAATCTGTAAAAGCACACAGATCATGTATGTGTACTGAGGATAGACATGGCGTACAGGTGCATCGAACGTACTAGTATATCATGAACCCTGATAGCTCGATGAAACAGATTCTTCTATGAATAAAAATAAACCAGAAGCGCAGCAAATGAGGAACAAAATGAAAGGCACATAATCACAAAGAACGGCGATGGACCAGAGACAGCGCGGAACACCTCTTCATATGTGCAGCATTGTTTTATTTTTCACTTTCTATTTACTTTTCCTTTGCCTAAGTTAAAGCTCGGTGTTGCTCGAGGCAGCATGCTGCCCCACAGAGACCTCAGGGTTCCGTCCTCCCATGTTCATCCTCCTAATTATTTTCCTCTTTTGCGTGCTTGGTGCATGGTTCCCTTTCCTCCGTGCACCAAGAACGCTGGAAATCGTCCTCCTAAAGAGATTGCCCCCCCCCCCCCCCCCCACCCCCCCACCCCCTCTCTTGCTATACTCACTTCGCCCCGTCAATCAATTCGCCTTACGCCACTATCACAGAAATGTATCCGTATGATCGGGCCCACCATGGGAAACCGGCTATTTTCGATTTCGAATACATCCACATTCCACTTAACCTCTCTCTCTCTCTCTCTCTCTCTCTCTCTCTCTCTCTCTCTCTCTCTCTCTCAGGCTTTTTCTCTCCTTCTCTCTATCTTTCTCTCTAAGTGTTTTTC